CCGGGCCCAGGCCCCTGGGGCCCGGGGTTGTGGATTCAAGTCCTTTGTTTTTGTTGTTGTTGCTGCGAGAGGAAAATGAAGGGCATAGAGCGTGTTGGAGCCTGAAGACCCCAGAAGGCCCATCCAGGCCCCTGGAGCCCGAAACCGGAGCTGCGGCCCCAGCTGGTGTGGCTCAGTGGGTAGGGCGCGGCCCGCCGACTGCAGGGTCCCGGGTTCGATTCCCGGTCAGGGCACATTCCCCGGGTGGTGGGCTCAGGCCCCAGGAGGCAGCCGATCAATGATGCGCTCTCAGCATTGATGTTCCTCTCTCTCTCTTTCCCTCTCCCTTCCTCTCTGAAATCTATAAAAATATGTTTTTTAAAAACAAACCTGGAGATGTGGCAGGTCCGGCAGGCCCACTCCTTGGGAGGAAAGTCTGGCTCCAGAGACTGAGGGTGCGGGCCACCCTTTGAAGGTAGGGACCGGGCCCCACCTGGCTGAGGTCATTGGTACCGGCTGCTGACAACTTGCCAGCAGGCTCAGCAGTCAGCCTGGGGGAGGGCGAGGCAGAGGAGGCCTCAGACCAGGCCCTGGAGGCGGAGACAGGAACCCCCGGAAACCCTGGAGGAAGGAGGGTTAGGAGACCTGATCTCCCCCCCACCAGGCTCTGCGTCTAAGCTCTCCAGTGACCAGGGAGGTGACACCTCCATTCCACCATTAGACCTGCGAACTGTGGGCGGTCCGGCGTGGCCTGCCTGCTCCCCTGGTGATTCAGAGTGAGAAGAAAAGGAGTCACTGGGCTTGGAAATGCTTTCCAAACCAAAGCTCCGGACGTGCACGTGTCTGGCAAAGGCAAGGGAGCCATGTGCACGCACACCTGTTCTCCTGTGGATCCTGTGTGGACTGAGGTGCAATTCTCTGACCCAGGGTGGGACTCGTAGCAGCAACTTCAACAGGTATAGTGTACGCTGCAGTCTATGAAAGACGCGCACAGGAATCCCATGTTCAGTGCACTTCCAGCAATACTGGTTTTAAAGGATGCAAAGCAAAGTGCAGGGGATTATCTGACACCCAGAAATAATAACCAAAATGGGGTGGCCATTTGACTTTTTCTCGGGAGGTAGACCAAGCCTGTGGCTTGTGGACTGGACAGTCTCAGGGCATTGAGCATGCTTTGGGTTTTAGGTTTTGGCAAATCAGGCTCATCCTACTATTTTCTCTCTCTGTTTAGAGTCCTAGTGTCTCTTGTTCCATAGGAATCTATGAAAAGACCCTCTTTCCATTCAGAACTGAGGCATGATCATTATAAGGGTCTAATTTTTAAAAAAATATATTTTATTGATTTTTTGCAGAGAGGAAGGGAGAGGGATAGAGAGTTAGAAGCATCGATGAGAGAGAAACATCGATCAGCTGCCTCCTGCACACCTGCTACTGGGGATGTGCCTGCAACCAAGGTACGTGCCCTTGACCGGAATCGAACCTGGGACCCTTCAGTCCGCAGGCCGACGCTCTATCCATTGAGCCAAACCGGTTAGGGCAGGGTCTAATTTTTAAAAGTCAAACTAGACTTATCTTTTCCAACTTGGTAAGTTTTATCACCAGTAAGGCAAAATGGAAAAGCACACAATATCTCGTTATGACTGAGAAAACAACGTGAGGCAGACAATGTTTTCAAAGATGGTCACACAATATCTCCATCAGGAAGCGGAGTCTACTGTTCCTCCCCTTGAATCTGCGTTGGCTCTGTGACTGATTTAACCAATAGGATGTGGCAGAAAACATGCCCTAGGACTTCCGAGACCAGGCATTAAGAAAGCCCGACAACTGCTTTGCATTCTGGGAGAAGCCAGCTGACACATAAGAAGAGACCACCATGCTGTGAGGAAGCCCACGCTCTGTGGAAAGGCCAGTGGAAAAAGCAAGCTGTGTGGCCAGCCCCTGGAGAGTTAGCCCATTCCAGCTGAGACCCTGGGCATAGGAGTGAAAAAGCCCCCCAGGAAGTGCCAGCCCTCGCATGGAAGACATGAGGCATCCTCCCCGAGAACTGCCAACATCGCAGGATTGTCAGCAAATAAATGATTGTTGCTGTCAGGCACTCAATACTGGGGTGGCTTTAAAAGTAGCAATAGGTAACCGAAACACAAAGCCAGACAACAGAAAGACTCCTAGCACAAAGGGGAGTTTCAGGGATAAAAACAATTTTTATCTTATCTTAGGCATCATTTGCTTTCTGTGTACTCTCTGACTGACTTAGAATTTTCTCACCTGGTGCTTGTCTATCCCAGTGGTGTACGAAGGGGGGGGGAGGGGGTCTGAGAGAAGTCTGCCCCTGTGAGGGATGAGTATTTTATCACTGATATTTTTTGGGAACAGTTTGAGCATGAATATAATAAAAAACAAACTGACTTTTAGTCCATTTTAAAGTTTTACACACACACACACACACAGAAATTCACTGCTTATTGCCGTACCTGGGGTCGGTCGTTGCCACTGCATCCCTTTTGGTCTGCCACTGGTTTACAGACACACATGCAGCAAAAGCGAAACCCAGGAGTGATGCCATCTCCACAGGTATAATAAAAAACAAACTGACTTTCAGTCCATTTTAAAGTTCTCTCCACACACACACACACAGAGAGAGAGAAATTCACTGCTTATTGCGGTACCTGGGGTCGGTCGTTGCCACTGCATCCCTTTTGGTCTGCCACTGGTTTACAGACACACATGCAGCAAAAGCGAAACCCAGGAGTGATGCCATCTCCACAGGAGAGATCTGTCTGAACACAACCCAACTGTCACACTGCACAGCTGCAAGCCAGCCTCTCATCCGTTGGTTGACAAAGACCCAGCCAGGTTCCCTGCCCGGGCAGACCCAGTGAATCCAACCATCCTTTCATGCAAAGGCTCATGCTCAGTGGGTTGCTATAGTACCCACTTCCAGCCCACCCCCTGCTGCGGGGAGTGACCCTTCCCCATCTGTCGGAGTTCTCCCGTCTGTTTTCCATGGGGCTCAATGCACTCCCTCATCTAACTCAACAAAAGGGATTCAACCTCAAGTGTTTTTGTTCTGAAGGACCACAGGGCAGGACCACATTTATGCCAACACCCAGAAACAATACAGCAAATGCCCCCGCCTCTGCTAAGAAAGGCAGGCTGTGGCCATTGCCCTGCCAGTTGCATGAAGGCTGCTAAAGCACGTTGTTTCCTACCAAGCTGCAGGTGGGGACCCCATAGGGTGGCTACTCAGCACAACCCTGGGGCAACGAACAAGTCATCCAGTCTGTTTTGAATCGATCAATAACTACGGCCTTCTGAGCTGCTATCATCTAGTCAGCAGGTCAAGTGTCTGGAAAGGATAGAATAGTTTTTTATTAGAATTGCATTTTGGGAGAACAATCCTTGGTATTCCAGCAAAACCTATTGTCCTAAGAAAGGGGAAAAGGTCCGTCTTGGTCTCCAGAGAGCCTGGAGCAGAAGGAAGCAAGAGGTTTGTGAACTCCACTTTCTGAAATAAAACAGAAATCTAAGTGGGCTGCCTGTTACCATCTCTGGAAGAAGGGTGTACGTATGACAGCTTTCGAAGATCCTGGGACCTCTCTAGGCCCACATTTTAGTTTCTTTAGCCCTATGCCACATGGCGATGAGAAATACAACCTGAAAATGAGAAGGCTCCGTGTGCCGGCTGGGGCACCAGGAAGGAGAAGGGGGAGGGACCCCCTCACGCGGCAGCCAGGGTGTAGAGACAGGAGGCCTCAGAGCTGCGGTAGCGGATGCTGCGTTATGAGTGACCCTCGAGGTCCGCAGACTGAGTGCTTTCTCCAGTTTCTGTAACATCCTGACTTTAAAGGCCGTTCAGTTTCTAGGTGAATGCACAATAAGTATCCAATTATTTAAAATTGTATTAAAACCTATCCTTACAGCAGAGCAGAAAGCAAGTCACCCTGAATGGATGTGGCCCAGATACCGGGCATACGATGTGCCTCCATGTGCCACCCCCAGCCCCAGGGAGCCTTGAAGCTTGCAGAGAGAGACCCGCCGTGTGGGGCAG